TGAAGAGTGTCACAAGAATCAAAAAGTCTTGAGAGAATAGACACAATTTTCACTTTTATCTGTACTCAATTAAGAACGTTAAAGAGTGTCACAAGAATCATGGAGTCTGGAGAGAAAAGTCAGAGTTTCCAATTTTATCTCTACTCAATTATGAGAGAGCTGTATGTCAAAATTCATCACACATAACACTGAAGTTGTCTAAGTGAATATCTCAAAAACGAAGAGTGGTAACGGCAGACTCGGGAGCCTTCTCGAAGTAAGGATTGTCAATGAAAGGCCTTAGGATAATAACCGGATAAAAAAAATTTGTCTCACTAAAACTGCGTTGTGCATTGATGATCTATTCAATTCGGTGTGAATAAGCTTCAGTCCTTTAAACTCCTCCTCCCATCCTCCACCGATAAGAAAAAGTAGGATGAGAGGATGAGGACACTGATCAGTAGTAAGATAGGAGGAAGTGCGGAGGGGGCTACGTACTTGAGTTCGGTAGCCGGTATCCAACAGGTAAGGCAGGAAATGGAGGTTACTCAGCCGTGCAAACTCTCTGATATTGTACAAATGTAGTCGTTCTCTTCATTTTGGTGGAAAGAAGCTTCAGTCTTTTAAATCTACCGCCTGTATATGTAGGATTAGAGTAGAAGAGTATGGATACGGATGCGGAGAAGAATAAAAGGTAGACGAGCGTATGCTAAGGAGAATACATATTTCGGTACGAAGGCGGGTATCCACTTGAATGACATGCAGGTAAAGCAGCCGTTCAATCTCTCTGACACTTGTACAAATGTAGTCCTTCGATTTATTTTGGTGGGAAGAAGCTTCAGTATTTTAAACTTCTCTACCAACCACACAAACGACCTGAGACTTGTAATATTTTTCATGTTAGTATAATTTGAACTTCGATTATCACGATCTTTGCAGCAATAATAATTTAAAGTGACTGGATTAAACTGATAAACCTGAGTAAATGTACTGCAAGACTTATTAAAATTGGCCAAAGAGGACAAAAACTGGTGGTTACAAATATCGAAACCGATGTAAATAAGCAAAAATGTTTGTTAACAGATCCAAAACGTATAAGATAAATGTGTGTTATGCTTTAATAGTTCTGAAGAAAATTTGATAAATAAAATAATTTATTAAAATATTTTAGTACATTTTCATAAATGTAATTTGGCAATACTCAAAACTGTAGGGTCAACCAAAAATTTGATTAATTAAAATTAATAAAAAAAATTACTGTTGTTGCAATTTAACTACTGTTCGATTAAAGCCTCTATATTAAAAACAACTAGTTTATATTAAGAATTTAGTTTCATACGTCAAAAATACGTTAAAATTTAACGCAAAAGCAATTTATATATCAATATCAGATAATATCAGAAAAAATCCAAAAACGTTTCATTAATAATAGTTAATTTCTCTGAACTATATAACTATATAAACTATAGTTGCTACGTCTCTATCCTACATTTGAGATTTAAAAATATTTGGGATGAACCCTAGCGGCGAGTCAACGTGAGCAGATCTATAAAAGACACAAATTCTTAAAACAATTATTAAAATCGAAATCAATAATTGAAATCAAATGTTGAGACTTATATAGTTTAACCACATAAATAATTAAAATTAGTGCTATAAAAGTGCAATTTCATGCTATTTTATGTCTCATTTTTTCTTACTTATACTAAAAAATACAAATTTGCTTTAATTAATTCTTTATGGCCTTATACCATAAGTTTATTAAACAAATAAAAAACACGTTTAGATTGTTCATTCACTATTTTATTTCTCTCTAGCGTCAACTTGAAGTTGGCTGCTTAACCTAAACCCAAAAATGTCATTTTTGGTTTCCCTTTGCCGGTAGATGGCAAAGTGAACGCCACAGCTACTCCCTCCTCAGTGCACTAGTCACGGTGGAAATGTTGATGCTGTATCTGCAAACGTCACTTGCTTTTTGATGCCTAGCCTTTTAACTGGATTGCTATATGTTTTCAGTGGAGGCTTCGTTTGCTGTGGATCTTCAACCGTGAATGCAGGTTTTAATCGCTCTGCCGCGACATTACTGTTTGTTCCATTTATTTCGATTGTAAAAAGACGGTCGTTAATGCGTTTGATGACTTTGAAGGGACCTGAGTATGGAGGTTCGAGTGGTTTTTTGTTGTGGTCAATGCGTAAAAATACATGCGTGCATGTGTAAAGATCCTTGTGAACAAATATGTTTCTCTTGATGTGATGCGCTGCTGGAGTTGATTTAACGTTTTGAATAAACTCTTTAAACTTGCATAAAAATGACTGATGATCATCTGTGTCAGATTCATCTTTGAAAAATTCACCCGGCAATCTCAATGTCGTTCCATACAACATTTCAGCTGCAGAGGCATTTATGTCTTCTTTCCAGGCTGTTCTTAAGCCCAGGAGAACCGTAGGTAAAATATCAAACCAGTTGAACTTGTTGTTGCACATTAACGCGGCTTTTAATGATCTGTGCCATCTCTCTATCATCCCGTTTGATGCTGGGTGATACGGTGTCGTTCGGATGCGTTTTGCACCTATCAGTTTGCCAAGGGACTCAAAAAGTGCTGATTCAAATTGCGTGCCTTGGTCGGTCGTTATAGTTTTAGGAGAACCAAATCTCGTAATCCATGTTGAATAAAATTGCGTTGCTACAGTTTCTGCAGACATGTCCTTTAAGGGCACGATTTCTGGCCACCGAGTGAACCTGTCGATCATCGTGAGGCAATACCTATACCCTTTATGTTCAGGCACTATGATAATGTCTATATGTACGTGGTCAAATCGTTGACTTGTGTGTTGAAATTCTTTCGGAGGAAATTGATTATGCCGACTAATTTTTGATTTTTGACATGCAATGCAGGTTCGAGTCCACTGCGTGATGTCTTTTCTTAACGACGGCCAAACATATTTCTGACTTATTTGTTTTTTTGTTGCTCTGTTTCCGGAATGGGATAAGTTGTGAACTGTGTCGAATATTCTTCGTCTTAAGGTTTGAGGAATGAAAGGACGAACTGTAAAAGTAGAAGTGTCGCAAAAAATTTTAACGCCATTCGGATACACTAGCTCTTGCAATTTTAGTGACGACAGGCCGTTTAGAATTTGCTTTAGTTCTGTGTCAGTGCTCTGTTCTTCTGCTATCTCTTCCGTGGTAATTGTTAGCGGCATGTTTATCTGGCTTATTCTGGACAATGTATCTGCTATTATATTGTCGCTTCCGGCTACAAAAATAATGTCCGTCGTAAATTCCGCGATGTAATTTAGATGACGCAGTTGCCGAGGGGATGCCTTCTCCATTTTTTGTTGAAAAGCATAAATTAGTGGTTTATGATCCGTTTTTACTATGGTGGTTCGACCTTCCAGTAAATGCCTGAAGTGTTTTATTGCTAGATATACAGCTAGTAGCTCTCTATCATACGTGCTATATTTGACTTGTGATGGTTTCAGTTTGCATGAGAAGTATGCTATCGGGAGCCATGTCTCGCCGTTCAGCTGTTGTAGGTGAGCGCCCACTGCTACGTCTGATGCATCTGTGGTTACACACATGGGTGCGTCAGGTGCTAAAAATGTGAGCTTAGTCGCGTTGATTATACCATCTTTGCATTGTTGGAAAGCTTGTTTAAGTTGATCGGTCCACACAATTTTTCGTTTATCATTCTTTATTGAATTTTTGAAGAGACTATTTAGTGGCGCTTGCATTTGTGCTGCCTTAGGAATACACTTTCTGTAGAAATTGATAATGCCCAGGAAACGTCGAAGTTCCATTATGTTACTTGGCATTGTAAAATTTTTAATCACTTCAACTCGTTCTTGTGGGGGATTTAATCCTGTAGCTGATATTTCGTATCCAAGAAATGTGAGTTTTTCTACGCCAAATTCGCATTTCGAACTGTTGATTACCAATCGAGCAGCTTTTAGTTTTTGTAGGACACATTCAATATGTTCTCTATGTTTAGTGTCATTTTCCGAAAATATTAGAATGCCATCTAAGTAACAGAACACGAAATCTAATTCACGAAATATTGAATCCATGTATCGCTGAAAAGTCTGTGTGGCATTTTTTAGACCAAATGGCATCACGACAAATTCAAACAGACCTATTGGTGTGCTTACCGCTGTTTTAACAATATCATCTGGATTCATTGGTATGTTATAATATGCTTTCGTGATATCGATCTTAGAGAAAATATTACTGCCGTGTAGTCTTTCGGCTATGTCATCAATGTGCGCAATTGGGTAGCTATCAGGTTGGGTGTGGGCGTTTAATTTTCGGTAGTCACCGCAAGCTCTCCATCCACCCGTTTTTTTCTTTACTAAATGTATAGGACTTGCCCAGGGGCTGCTGGATGGCCTCACTATACCTTGATGTAGTAATACACGGAACTCATCTTTGATTGCTCTTAATTTTTCACCTGAAAAACGCCGTGGGCGTTCTGATATTGGCTGGCAATTTGTTATTATTCTGTGTTGAACGGTGTTTGTTGTTGGTAGTTGGTACCTGTTCAAATTTGTCACGTCAACATATTTTGCGATGACGTCATGGAATTTGATGGATGAATTTATTGTCGAAACATTTTCGTGGGCTACTTCTTTCAGTAGACCCTTTGACTGTAACGTGGTTTGCGTATCAATGAGCGATTTTGCCCTCAAATCGATTTGTAAGCCGTAGTGCGTGAGAAAGTCTGCCCCAATTATGGCTGTTTTAACATCAGCGATGATGAAATACCAGTTGAAATCTTTTCTAAGGTTTAAATCTATTGCTAGTTGCTTGTTGCCAAAAGTTTTGATTGCAGTGTTGTTCGCTGCATAAAGAACTAAATCGTCTGGTTGCATTTTACTTTTTGGATTGATGCCTGGTAGTGGAAGTAGTGATATAGCTGACCCAGAATCAATTAGAAAATTAATGTTGTTTTTTCTGTCATACACATGTAAACGTAGCTCTTGGTTTTTTATGCTGTCGCCAACCGTGTTTGATGACGACAGCCTCGCTAGTTTCCCTGTCGATTATCGCTTTTACGTTTGCCAAACTCGCACGGTTGGCTACATTTAGTCGCTGCTGCCCCAAATTTTATGTGGTAGTAACAGACTTTCTCACGTCTGCAAGGACTGCTGCGGCTGCGGCTGTTGTCTCTACCACGATTGTCTCGTTTCTCCAATCTGTCTAAAGTTGCTGCTATGTTGATAAGCTGCTGATTTATTTGTTGGACCGAACTTTCTAATGTTGTTACGCGGGCTTCCAACTTGTCATTTGATTTGTTGGCGTTTGTGGTCATTACGTAAGATGGTACTGGACTGTTGTCTAATATTCTATCAGCAATTTCTGCTAGCTCATCAATACTTGTGGTTTTGCATGCTGATAGAATGCATCTTACACTGTTTGGCATACGTTGCAGCCACAGTGTTGTTAATGCCTCCTCTGAGACATTTGCGCCTGCTAATGTGCGCATTTCACGTACCAGTTGGCTTGGTTTTTTGTTCGAAAGTTCCAGACCGGTGAGTAGCTTTATGAGCTGCTTTTCTGACGATTCTGAAAAACGAGAAATTAGTTCTTTCTTTAATTTGTCGTATTTGCCTGTTTCAGGAGGATTTTTTGCAATATCCGCAACTTGTTGCAGCGTTTCTGCATCCAGCGCAGTAATTACTGTATAGAACTTCGATAAATCTGCTGTGACTCGGCTCATATGTAGTAG